CTGGGAGTCTGATGTTGAGCGACTTGCCCACTGTAGTAGAGATGGAACCAGGACCTGGTCCTGCAGATCCTTGTGTTAGATAGGACACAGGCTTGTGGTTAAAGCACTGCTGTTCTCAGGTTTGTTCCTGTTCCTGCTCAACCCTTTCAGAGCAAGGAATGTGTTGTCTAGCTGTCTTTTCTATCTGTGTGGCCCCTAAGTCCCTTTTCCCTGTATCTTACACCACTCTGCTCCGCTTGGCACAGCATGGCAGGAAAGGGCTTTCAATGCCAGAAAGGGGACATATGAAATTAAATCCAAAGCAAATTCAGTTTCTTCCCTTCCCCTTTTCCAGCAGGCTGGGCAAGATTCCAAATCTTTTGGACTCTGAGGTCTTATCTGGACAAGTGCAGATGTTTGGTTCCCTGGGGACAACCAGCAGTGGTGCACTTTGTGCTGCCACTAGTTGTCCCCAGGGAATGCCCATACCACGTGCCCTCTGGAGCATGGCAGGTTATCCCAGGTGGGGTAGGGGAGAAACTGTACTGGCCCCAGCAGCCTTATCTGGGGTTCTAGGAAGCTGCAGCCACATTGCTCCTGCAGCTGGGAACCTGGTTGGCAGTCAGAGCGTGGCTCCGGCTGACCAGGCTCCAGTTTTGGGCAGCACGCTCTGCCTCCACTTGGGTTGCCTTGCCTTGCCTTTTTTCTGGGTGGGTTTTTTTGACCCTGGGATCTCCTGGGGTCACCTCCCCCCACGCTGCAAGGTAGCAGTGCAGGAAACACCTAAATGTGTGCTATGTGGCACCACAGACAGGTCAGCAGTGCCACATACCGCATGGCTGCGCTCGCCTATATGCAGCCTGATTGTACAAAGCACTTGCTATCACCTGCTCACGGGCATCAGCATAGGGGCTCAGAGTAATGAGTACTTGCATCTTTTCAAAGTTCTTTTGCTTTAGAAGCCCATGTCAGCCCTCCATAACTGCTACACTGAGAAGAGCTGACCATCAAGGAAGCAAAAGGTGTTTGAAAATGGGAGGAAGAAGAATGATGAAATAATAAGGCCCTCCTCTACGCTCAGAAAAACAGTATTGACTTAAAAATCAGGAACAGTCTTGGAGCGTTCCACCTAGGGAACCATAGTCTCTGAAATACTTCCATGGCCTCCATCAGCGTACTCCTCTGAGACAGGATGGTACTGTGAGCAGTTAGGCAGAAGGCAGGTGAAGGCAAAGAGAGATTTCTTCCCACTTACCCAGGGACGCTTTGAAGCTGAAGGGAGAGTGGACCTGGGTCTTAGCATCTTCCTGAAGCCTGGATTTGGAGCTTGCCCGCTGGGTGTTGTTCACCTGCCTGAGCCTGGCCTTCCTTGTTCCAGAGAAGTTTGAGGTCCCTGGAAGGATGGACTAATGCAGGGCTGTCCAATTTGTGCCTATGGGCTGCATGGAACCTGAAAGAGCTTAACTCGGGGCTCCTGCTACCCTTACATCCTTGCCTCCCTACACTTCCCACCATGGGTTGGGGTGCCTCTCCTTTGGTCACTGCCTCCCTTCATTGCCTGCTTCTGCTTTGATCACCGTCTTCCTCTTCTTCCTCTCCCCCAGCTCCCTGAAGGCAGTCAGGGTCTCCAGGCTAGGTCTTCTCCAGTTTCAGTTTCCTCCTGCCCAACTGGTGGGCAGTGTGGCCAATGGAAATGTGGCAATGGGATGGTGCAGCCCACAGCTGCTCAGAAATTGGACAGCCCTGGATTAATGTATTCATTTTAAAGGCTCTCCCTATAGGGCAGGGATGGACAGAATGGTGGATCCAGCCAGGAACCAAACTCCATTTCCCAGCAACCCCTACTCATGTTGCTGTGGCCCGTTTCCATGAGACCACAGTAGTGGTGGTGCCGTGATAATATGGGCACAGGGCAGGGCACATTAGGCAGGGACCTGATCCACGGCCGGGGCTGAGATCTGGCAGTGGTGAAAACATGGTCCAGAGGATCTGCTGCTTGCACACCACAGCTCTGGACCACACAGAGCCAGATAGTGGCTCTGCCCCAACTTCAGACCACTCCGTCAGTGCCGTGAGATTCCAGCCCTGGAGCAGCTCCTCGTCCAGCTGCACTCTCTGCCAGTGCTGCTGGGCCAGTCTTCATGGAAACCCTGGCCATGCGCTGTCACGGCACTGCCACTGCTGGGGTCTCCATGGAAACCGGACACAGCAATGTGGGCAGGGGCTGCTGGGAAATGGAGTTTGCCATGGGCCTGATCCAGCCCATGGGCTGGACTTTGCCCACCCCTGCTATAGGGCCCGACCCACTTACTTTAGCGGAAGAAATTAGTTTTTACTGCTTTGGACTTCTGTCCAAGCTGCAGAAACAACAGTTGATGGGGAAGGTGCTGGGTTTTGTGTTGGCTCATGTGTAAGCAGCAGAGCGAGCGGCCAAGTTCCAACTGCAAGGGCAGATGCTGTGACTCTGACCCCTTATCCAGACATGGAGCTACTGACACTTTTGTTTCCGCAATGATTTTCAGAAGGGTAAGACATAGCCCTAGGTGCCTATCCTGCAGTTTAATTATGAGTTCTTTTCTGTAACCAACATGTCCCGATAGCTATCTCAGTACATTCTGCTTCTTCTGTCAAGCATATCTGCTTTTATCTTTGCTTTTATCTGTACTTCTTACTTCTCAGATTTAAAATCCCAAATGCTGAACTTTGTCCTGCACATCTGTGGTGTTCATGACTTTCAGCACTCGCCAGAGTAGGGAAATATACAGCAAAAAAAAATTGTTTTAGGTTTGTCCATAATGTAAGCAAATTTACTTGTGTTGCTTCAAGGTCAAAGTGTAACCATTCAAGCAATTTAATCTGGGGGCATTTTCTAGAGCACTAGCTAGTGTTCAGAAATGGCAAAAGACATTAAAGCACAGCTTGCGTTGTTGTATGCAGACCTAGAATACTGTACTTGCTTTAGAGGGCTGGTTATTACTGGCCTGTTAATGAGCTAGGCATTAAGGAGTCCAGTGGAAATGAAACACTGGTGGTGAGACTTTCCATTCCTAGGGCTGGTGGTTAGCAGCAGAAGGAGAGGTCACACATTGCTACGTATCCTGATGTGAACTGAATTGGGTCCAGAAAAAGGTTTTGCCCTTGAAACAATCTCCTTGGTTCCTTTATTTATCTATTTGTTAATGGGAACGGCACAAAGGCATGGGAGGAAATCCATACCCACAATTTCGGGGATCATAGGGGTAGTTTTGTTGCCAGACTGGTATGCAGAGGTTAGTTAGTGGGCGTGTCTACACAAGACGCTTACTGTGCGGTAGCCTAATAACACCGAGCAGTAACCATCACAAAAAAACCATGTGCCAGCACTACTGCACAGTAGCTGTAGTTACTGCACATTTAGTTAGTACTTCATTAAGGAAGTACGAAACTAAATGGTCAGTAACTACTGAGCATCGATGAATGTGTAGATGCTCCCAATGGCCAGTACTGAATAGGTGCTTTAGATGGGAAAGACAAGTTCACAGGATAAAAGTTTCTTGATTTGAAAGCCTCCTTTTTGTCTCTCCTGCAGGGGGTGCTTGGCCACAAACAGCTGCTAGTGTGCTTTAGTCATCTCAGTCAAATCCAGTGGGTCTCTGTTGGCCTTGCCACTGTGCAAATGATACCAAAAAGTGCCAGAGAAGCCAGATCCCCAGGGATGAAGGGGAATCTGTCAGAGCAGGTACAGCCCCCCTCCATCTGGCATCTGAGCTCCTGCTGTTTAGCAGTGGAGCCATTTGTCATGTCTATCTCTTCCTATTCTGATGGCAGCCGGCTCTGCAGGGTGACGTTGTCTCTGCTGTCTCACTCTTAATCTCCCAGAGTCTAGCCCAGTTCTACCTCGCCCATTTCAGTGAAGCATCTCTTATGGCTCCAGAGAACTGGAAAGACTCCCTCTCTCACACTGCCAGTGGAGCAGTGGGGGACATCCTGGTCTCTCCTCTGTCCCACAGGCCGTGCAGCCACCTCTTCTCTGGGTTTGCTCCCTGCTCAGTGGGATGAGTAGACAGCAGGTGGAGCCTGCATGCAATGAGGGTACCTGTTGTATTGTGAAGCTGATGTGGGAATGAACCTGGATACAGGTAGAGAAAATGTCTTAACCCAGGAAGTAGACCTGTACAGAGGCTATGTCCTCGATACAGAATTGGCTGCAGTGGCAGAGCGCCAGAGAGTAACACAGGTGTTTCCACCTGGAATGCAGCTTTCTGGACAGCTGGCTTGGAGCCAGGTACTTGTACACCACTGTCTTGCTTGATATTTTTTTCCTTTGAGAAAACTATATTAAAGCTAACATTTGATTTAAATTAATTCCCCCCTCAGTTGCTCCAGACACTCCCATCAAATCCTTTTGCAACTGCCTGCTGTGGGTAGCAATTCTGGGATGTTACCTTTTGTATAGCAGGCTTGGTTCAGCTTTGATTTTCTAGATTTGAAGCCCAGCAGGGCATACTGTGGCAGATCCTCTTAGTCTGGTCTCTTGTAACAAAGGCCAGAGCATGCCCCAGGAATCCTGCTGGAGCCCATGGTTTCTGTTTGGGCCAGAGTGCATGTGCCTGCAAGAGACACCCAAACTGGCCTGAAAGGTTTTCTATCTCAGGGAGCTCACCATGTTCCCAGGTGGGTTGTTCCCCAGGTAGGTTAGTCACCCCTGGCACCTTTCCACACTTTATTTCCAGCTTCCTTTCACCCACCTTCAGCTGCAAGCTGGTGGGTCACACCTCCTTGGCTCCAGTGCTTCACTCAAGGGAAAGCATCATTTCAACACAGAAAGGAGAGAGGCTCGGGGCTGAAAGTGGGGCAGCAGGGCACGGGGGAGGGGGCGGGATACTTTAGAAAAGGGACTTTTAAAAAATTAAAATATATATACATATCCTCTATCATAAGCTTTCCATCGCACATCTCAAAGCCACCTTAAGACACCCGCACTTTCCGTTACAATAAACGCACCCAACCCCCTGCGCACCCACCCTCCACCCTCACCTTACCCAATCGCAGTCCTTTAGTCCAGGCACCGATTTGGGGTTTATATTCTCAGTTCATTCGCTGTCGCTGTCGCTTCCGCTGCTGCGGATCCTGTTGCAGCCCTCCGCACTGCCTCCAGGTCCAGTTGCATCTCTGTCCTCTTGGTTCTCCCTGCCCGCTTCCCCTCCCGGTGCGGGGGTCTTTGAACAACCAGCGCCAGGTGTCGCTTTTCCACACGAAGTTGGCTGAAAGGGACGGGGCGGCCCG